CCCTTTTTTCCACCAGCACCATCTACTGAGCTTCCAGCTCCAGAGCTCATAGCTGCTTCTGCTGCGACAACGGAGTTCACCGCCTCATTTGCTACGTCGTAGGCTAGCTCAGCTTGTGGACTCCCGTTTTCATGGACATCCATGCTCTTCTCTGTCAGCCACTCGCACAGCATTCGCGGCTCCAGCGACAGCCCGGGCAAACTGTATCTCCAGCGCTTGATTTGGTCTTCCTCTTTTTCCATGAAGCACCGGTTTCTCTTGGCCTGAACCCTTGCCTCCTTGATTTATCACATGCAACTTGGCTCCTTGCCCTTGCCCATCACCTTCTTCTGCCAGCCCAAGTTCGGACTCTGGGTGCTGTGTTGAATAGTCGCAGCGTCTTCTCGAGTTCCTTGTCCTCGTCGCTGCGGCCAAAGCATCACGGTATGGCCTCTGGACTTTCTCACTTCTGGGGCGTCCATGACGAGGATTTTCCAGCTTGGGTGACAGTTGCTCTTGCCAACCCTTATAATAAGCCACTCCTCAATCTGAAGTTGTGCTCGGGGTCCTCCGCGTCCTCGACTTCTTCTTCTTCTTCTTCTCCGATATCTCTGGCAAAGGAGGTGGTCTACTTCGTTCCGGGTCATCCCCATCTCCTCCTCCAGATAGGCCCGGCAGTGGCATAGCCATAGCTCCATGCTCACCTTCAAGATGCAAGTGTCTCGTCCCTGGCACCAGCTCCTCATCTCCCTGAACTTCACCGTCCGCATCTTCGATCAGCTCAAAGCTGTCATCGCTCGGAGCATCATGAGGTCGATGTCGTGGTAGCGGAGCTTGCGGCTGCTGTCTGGCTCCAATCTTGCACGGTTAAAGGAATCGCTACAGTTGGCCGCAGTGATGTCATTGTCGCAGATCCCATCGCCGCTTGTCCGCGACTTTGGACTCCACTTCCATGGACATTGTACCCACGTCCCTGTGAACCCTCCGTAGAGCTTGTCAACGTGGATGCCCTTGAAACTCTGCTTGAAGCAGGGCCTTCCATAGTTGGCCGTTGAACTCCATCATCTCCAAGTAGTTCACCTCCAGCATCGCTCGCACCATCCTAGCGCCTGAATACCGAATACCCAACCCAGGTATCCGGGTGAGCTCCATGTCTGGCCAATCCATTGACCCAACCAGAATTTGCTCTCACCTTGACTGTTGAACTGGACGGTCATGCGATAGGGGATTAAGTCGGTCGGCGTAGGTGCTCCCTTTCCCCTATGCAAGGGATGGAATGCTCTCTTCCGAGTCTTCCGGTGGTATCTGATCATCCACCCCGCGTGCATTTTCATGCCATCCGTCCGACGTGGATGGTGGCTTCCGAAGGAGCTCGTGAGACTGGATGCCCTTGAACATGTCTCCCCGGCCTCTTCAATTGACCTCCGCCAATGCCCTCGTCGTTGGTAACGTTGTAGGTCGGTCTTCCATCACCATCGCACCATCATCTCCACCACCCGTACGTCCTCATGGTTGTAGTGCTGCCATCTTCCATCTGCAGCTCACCACAGTCCATGGCACCGTGTTTCATGACCCGAACCTTATAGTTGGCGGCTCGAGCCCGAGCTCTGCATCCCAGTCTTCGATGGGATCATCATTCAATTGAGCAAGTACCGAGTTTGCAGGCTGAACTTGCTGACCATGCCCGCCTCTCATCACCTTGAAGCATCTTTCCATGGCTCATCCAGAAGACGCAAAGTTGTGGCCCGCGCGTCCAAAGGCAGCCGGTAGGGCAGTGGTTTGGGGTTCCTGGAGAAGATCCTGGGCGTAATGCAATATGTTTCCCATTAGGATGGTGCTCAACACTGTGACTACAACCGATGTTCAAATTCTCAATTTGGTTTTCTTTCAACCCCCCATTGATCTTGTCTCCAGAGAGTCCTACTGTGGCCTCCCTTCTATGGGCTCTTGCTGGGCGGTTGATTTTCCCTACCCTTTTCCTGCTTCATTTTCCTTTTCTCGCAGGGTGGGCTCATTTGGGGCCCTCACCATGGTCATCATCCTACTGGGTGGTTCATCTTCCATACCCGCTTTTCTCAACGCAGGTTCATTTGGTGCCCTTACGTTGGTCATTTCGTCCATGTCAGCTGGTTCATCTTCCCTAGCTGACTATGGTGGGGAAGGTTCATTCTCCCTTTCCCTCTTCTTTTCCAACATCCAATATCCAGCAACTATATCAGTCCAGTTCCAGCCTGTCGGCACTGAGGATTCTGCGTCCCCATCAGTCCACTTCCCGCTGCGAGAAGCTTAGATGATCTTCTCCTCCCCGGCTCTCAGTTCCTCTTCAGCATTTTGTAGATCCTCCAATGCCTGCACATAGAGCGACTTTACGAAGCTCTCCATCTTCTGCCCTTGAAGTGGCTTGGTTGCCCCATCAGCCGGAAGGACCAACCCCCTCAGTCTTGCAGTCGATCTCCTTGCCAAAGGTCTCTGCCATCGTGTCCAGCTCGTTCCCTTCCGTGCCCTGGTTGGCCTTCTTGATCCAGCCGTAGAACTGGAGGTCCACTTCCACCAGGTGGCACCGAACTCGCCCTAGTCCACGACATGGCACAAGCCCCTTGAGCTGAGCGTTGGGTTCATAACCTGTGCAGTGCAGAGCAGCGCACTTTTGAACCACAAAGAGCCTGCCGGTCGAAAGGCAGTTGTCACCTGATATGAACAAATACTGCAATTGATCTGTCCCACATGAAACCCTTTTGCAGGTATCGGTATATTTATCTGATATGTTTGTTTATTATTGGTATAATCGATGAAAAGAAAAGTCAAATAAGGTCCAATACGAGCAACAACTTTGAGGAACAACTTTCAAAACCAAACCGGAATGGGACAGCAACAATCACAAACATAGATCTTGTCAACCAGCCAACACGGAGTCCTGGAATAGTGTCTCAAGCTCACCTCTGGGGTGGCAATACAGACCACCAACAAAAACAATGATTTTCATCACGGCTAATAGGTTTGACGCGGATGAAATTCAATTGCTCCATTGGCACTGCAAATGTTACAGCTATATCCCGGTTTGTACCAACAGTAGTACAGAATATGTTGGTGATATTGTGATGTCGCATTTCCCCGCATTTCCCCATGTTGACGCATCGCATTCTGGGTTTAAATTCTGCATGGGAGTTACAGTAACCTTCTGGGGCCTGGAGAGGTAGATCGAGTTTGCCTATTCATATTCAGGCTGGAAAAAGTTCTGTGGTTGCACAGCCATCATTGGACCCCTGCAACGATTTCTTCCCTAAAAATGGCAACCAAGGTTTGTTCACGTTCCTGAAGCCGAGCACAAAAATCATGCTTCCCAGCGTGACAAAAGGCTATAACAACCTAAACCTGGCAATAGATTTTGACATGCTTTCGGTTGAGAATCTTACTTTCCCATGGCATGGTGACAGGAGACTTAAGATGTGTTTGACCAAGCTTAATGGCCACAATACAATTTCAATATGTTTTTTGTGGTTTTCCACTTTCTTAAATTCTAGCGTCATAATTTCCTCAAAGGGTAAATGAATACGTGTGTATATATATATATATGTATGTATCGGCTTTGGGAGCATCTTCTATCATGGTCTTGTCTCAAAAAGTGAAACCCGGTCCATTTTGGCGGCCGTTGAGTCACTAATGTTTCAACACGCCCATACCCAAATCCTCCATTTCTGGAACATGTACAAGTCCATGTTCAAAAATCACACATAAATATTGCATGACGAAATGTAGAGCATATTTATATCATCTAACCACCGTTCTGCTTCCCATGATCATCCCAGCAACATGTTCATGACACAAATAATGTATGGTTGATGTTTGCGCCAATCCTCTGAAATATATGCGTGTCAATGATGATAATCATCTCATTTCACGAATTGGCATGTATCCCATGAGATATCCCCCCTGTTAGATGGCTAGTTCCTCATGTTTGTTGGCCCAATAGCCACTACATCAAATCTCCAACCAGCCCAAAGATTCCGAACAAAAAATCGAGGTTTCCATTTTCCTAACTCGTGGATGGTCATTCCCCAAATCATCCAAGTCATGGATGACCATCTTGGCATGGAAACAACCATGACGACTGGCGAAACACCCCATGAAACACCATGCTTCACCAGGCCGCTTCATCATGGGGCTCGTCCTTGCCACCTAGAAGCATCCTCAGTGCTGTTGTAATGGGGGCAGAACTGAAAGGAAGAGGATTCAGGACCAGGAAAATCAGGAAACATGGCTTAGTATACCATATATATAGGTAATAGCGGAATAGCGCCTCACTTCTGTAGATCCACCGGAACTTGGTTCTTACAGCGTGTGGTCAAACTTTTGACTCTGTTTTTTTCTTGGCCGGATCTGCCTGTGTTTTGCCCACAGGGTTTCGCCAAACATGGTGGATTTTCCCTCGTGAAAGAGCAATTTTGCCAAGGAAATGATGATAAAACGGAAGACTTTTGGGAGCCCTATTTTGACACAAACCTATGCGAGAAGGACTCTCCAATAAAAAGTTTGCTTATAATTTAAAACCCAATCAAACAAAGTTCATGCATATACAATCACACACACAGACACATGCACACACATATATATATATATATGTATGTATCTATATATATATATATAAATATGTATCTATATTTGAATATATATATATGTATATAAATGTATGTATGTATATATATGTATATATATGTATATATATATATTATATATATAAATATATACACCTATGAACATGTGCGCTTGTGCCAGCCAACTGCAGTACCTATCTACAAGGCCCCTTTCTGTGGAATGTGACCTCCTACTGCTGCAGGAAAATCATTGTCGTACGATTTAAAGTTATATAATTGGTTCCCGTGAAGAAGAATGTATTGCTGCTATAATCCCCTGGCATCTGATCATGCGAATGCCATTTCCCAATTTACAGTGGTGCACATTGTAATTGCACATGTGTGCATAGACAAGTCAATGTAACATGTAAACCAATACGCGCACCTATCTATATATATTTATATATATATTATACATATAGATAAAAAAATAAATCTATATATATATATATACATATGAAAACAAGAAATAACATTGTATTCAATACATGTTGCATGATTCAATACATGTTGCATGTAGAAATACAAACCTATGTGCGATAAATTACCCGCATTAATTGTAGACAAACACGTGTACAGTGTACTCATGTTATGTCAGAAATACACTTGGCCGAGCCACACTGGACGGTTGACATCGCTGAAACCATACTTGTGGAGAAAGTTCCTGACAACTGTTGATCGGCGGGGCACAATCAATCAACAAACGCAGGCAGTGCATGATATCTTTCAATAATTGGGATATGTTTATAATACCGATCATTGAAACAAAAAACAATCACTGTACAACATTTGAAACCTTGAGTTCAGACTTGCCAACAATCTGTCAGACATATTATGTCGAATAAACATGAATAAATGTCATGATAAATGTGTCATCAACAAAGATGTTGGTTTATTTGGTCAAGATGGGGGTCGCGCGAAATAATACCCAAAAAACACACACACAGACGGGTGTTCCATTTCAGCGTCCATGAAGCGGTTGAGGATGGTTGAGGTTATATATAAACTGCACACGTCTTCATATCCCTATGTTTTTTATCGGTGTTCAATCCCCATCAATTGGCAGCTCCAGGTCGCAGAGGATACAAAATGACAAAAAATACAGTACATAGAGTCAGAGGTGATATCCCAATGCACTTGGGGGACTGCACTCCCAAGCACCACCGTTCCCAAAGGCTCTCCTGAGCTTTGCGTGACGCCGGTCCTGTCGGGCCTCCCTGGCGCTACGCCGCAGCTGTGGTTCATCGAAGTGCACCTCCTTCGCCTTCGCATCTGGTGTTGTGGCGGCGCTGGTCCTCGTCAAGCGCTTGGCGTCCACGTCCACCTGAGCTTCCGATGTCAGAGCGAATTCAACACCGAATGGGGGAATCAACATCCACGGCTGAAACTTCAGTTTTGTCGGAGCACAAGGGGTCTTAATGGTTGGAATGTGGGTAGCAGTATGCCCACAGTAATATAACCATACTCCTTCATGACTGGGACCCATCGAGATGGAAACGGTTGAATCCAACTTGCATACAAGGTCTAAACCTAGAGCCTAGAGATGCAATTTTGCCGATGAAATCTGCAGGTATTTTGCTTTACTTCAATTTACAAATCCGGGGGGGGCATCTCATGGTTTCGCAGGGTCTGGCGTTTGGTGGACGCAGAAAATGCACAGAGGGAACGCCCCATGCTCCGATTTGAAGAAAACCAAGATACGAGATGATATGAGTATATATGCATCATAAGGAAGTTTCCTAAAATGGGGGCCCCGGTGCCCCAAAATTATCCAGGTCATGGATGACCATTTCTGTATTAAAACCTATGGTATTGGGATGGTGTTGGGGATCCCTGATTAAGAAACCAACATAAATAAATAAGTAAATAACGGGTCCGGGAGTTGGACGATGCTGGTGTTGGAACATTTTTCCTCAAACAGTGTGTCCACAATGAGGGGTTCTGGGACGGTAAGTGTTAAAGGCCGGGGTTAGATCAGGGTATGCTCTGTGGCCCCCGGTTTTTTCCACTAGAAATTCTGGCATAGAAGTTCCCTTGTGCAAAAACCTTCTGTGTAAAGGCTTCCCTGTGTTAAAGCTTCTCTGTGCATGCTCTGTGCAAAAAGCTTGCTGCGTATAAAAGCTTCTCTGTGTAAAAGCTTGCTGTGTGTAAAAACTTCTCTGTGCAACAAAAGTTTCTGCGTGTAAAAGCTTCTGTGTGTAAAATGTAAAAGCTTCTCTTTGAAAAAGCTTCTGTGTAAAAGCTTCTGTGTGTAATAGCTTCTGTGTGTAAAAGCTTCTCTTTGAAAAAACTTCTGTGTGTAAAAGCTTCTGTGTGTTAAAGTTTCTCTGTGTAAAGCATCTCTGTGAAAAAAGGTGGGAAGAGGTGAGAAGAGTTGATAAGAGTTGGCAAGAGTTGAGAAGAGGTAAAAGGAGTTGAGAAGAGTTGAGAAGAGCCGGAAAGAGGTGAAAAGAGTTGAGCTGAGGTGGGAAGAGATGAAACAACTTCAGAGCTGTTGAAAAGAGTTCTGAGAAGAATTGAGAAGAGCTGAGACGGTCTGAGAAGAGCTGCGAAGAGCTAAGAAGAGCTGAGAAATGGTGGCCACAGTTGAAAAGGGGTGAGGCAATATGAAAACGAATTCAAAGAACAGAGCTGAGAAGATGTGAGGCTTCACTCCAGCTCCTCTAGGCGAAATTTGTGTTCAATCCTATGGTATAACATTCCTTGCTGCTGGAAACTTCCGCCGTCTCGCGCGGGTTTCACTTGTATCTAGCTGACATCCCATAAAACCGGATCAACCCATGGATCAACCCAAGCACCAGCAGATCCTCGGGTCTGAGAGTTGGTGCAATTTGAAAGCAACCAATCGCCATGGCTCTCTCCACCGTTTTCACGCTTGAACCGGAGAAGCGAACCACTAGAGCCAACGAAACTGGCAACTGTGCATTCAAAGGAAGGAAATTGTGATTTAACCATGGATTTACGACACAACAACTAGGGACTGAACAAACCAAAATGGGAATAGCACCACCCAACATGGATTGGTTGAAGGAATCATTTGCGGGAAACCATGTTTTCTCCTAGCAATGACCAACGTTCATCCAACTCCGGGAAAAAATAAGTATATATAATATAGAAAATAGATGAAAATAGAAAGTGTGTAATCAGCCCATGAGAAGAGATGCACAAATTTGATGCGTTCCAGCATTAGATGTTTGTCTTTGGGGCCAACGATTGTGAGGCATAAACTCATCCGGTGCACAGCGCTGACTATGAGGCCCTAGGCGGAGACCGGATTGGGATTGGCTCAATATGGATCTCTCTCCCCCCAATTTTAAGGATATGCTGCGTTGGCAGATACCTCCCCACAGCGATGTCCTCTTTCCCCGGTACCTGAGCCACAAATGGCGGACGAAACGAAGCCAAACAAAACTGATCTTTAAATTCCGGGTATAATCTGTTCCTCAAAATGCCAGGCAACCCAACTTACCGTCTACATGGAGACATTGAGAGCTCATACAGAGATTTACATTCTGGGTGACACTATTTACATTCTGGGTGACATTGTAGTCCGAGGAAGCACGCTAGATACTAGGCATGGTAACCAGCTTGCCGAATCCCATTCTGTGCCCATTAGAATCCCATTTCTTGTCGGTTTATCATCCAACATCCCCTCAAACATCGCTGAATGACAGCAATTGACTGACGCAACATAAAGCCTTTGGAGACTCATCTCTAGAAACATCGGCCAGTAGAGTCGGTATATGTCGGTATACTCCATTCAAGTGATATTCCCATTGAAAATTCCATTGGACGTCCCAGATCTGGATCCATGTTCAACCCTAAAACTAGGATTTGAATCTTGAGTTATTTCTACTCAATTTAGGAGTGTTGGTATTCCCTGACGATTTCCGATTTTCCCAACGGCCCAAATACAGGCAACATAAACGTAATTCAGGGATTTGCATGGTCAGTTCCAAACTTCAGCTCAAGTTGCGGTTCGTGCACTGGCCTGGGTTCCGGTCACTTTCTGAGAAACACTGGGTATTTAACCAAAAAACGAAATTAAACAGTTAACAATCAGGATTATAATAGAAATACCGGGTAGTCAATATGTATACAATAATATGTATAGTCCCAATCTCCTAATGTTAATAAGAGGGTTAACCATCAAAAATGCTATTTTACTGTGATTTAACCATCCTGAATGGTGATCTATATCAACCCAGCAGGAATAATAAACCCCTACTTTACTAATCTCTGGGTACCATTTTTAAAGTCAAATATCAGTATTTGGGGGACACACAAAATATTGATAAACCATGGGTTTATTGATCCGGACTTGACATTAATATGGCAAAAAATATGCCATCAGTATGCCATATTATGTCTCTTTTTATCTGGGATTCCTATTGAATAGATCCAATCAATTCCACCAGGCTTTTGTGGCGATGCTGAACATCGCCAAGGTTCGGAAGGGACGACTTTTTAGGCAGCAAACATGTTGAAGCGTCCACTCGGATCGGGTATGGAGTTGCATTGGTTTCACCATGAATGGCACTTAGCCAACAAAAAGGGTGCCATGGGTACAGTTGGCACTTGCCGACTCGGCTGCATCTGGTGACTCGGCTGTGTGTGTTCACATGCCGTCCAAATTAAAACATATCCAGAAAAAACGCTGCACGTACATAATGTCATTCAACATATTAATTAAAAAATAGAATTTGTTTATACATAGATATTTGGCTTTCAGTGGCATATCCCGGAACGAAGCGTATGCAAGAACTATTTCAGGAACCCTGCAAGCCACTGCAACCCACTTAAGTTCCAAAAACGCTGCGACGGTGGCAAGCGGTGCCAGTCACCAGCAAAAGCATCCAAGAAGGATGTCCGCCAAGGGGCTTGTAAAACTTCCAGCACCTTAGGAAGAGATCCACAAACAGCCACTCGCCATTCTCAACGTTTCGAATTGTTGGTATTTTCATGGAAATACTTGATCAAGTGACATAGTATGTCAGATGACTTGTGCAGCCACCAGGGGGGTTACTAGCGCCCTCGGCCAAATTGCGTTTCTTTTCGAAAAACCAGGCCTAGGCCTGGAAGAAACCCTGGAAGTTCTCAAATACAATTGGGCAAACAATGGTTCTGCATTGAACAAGATGGAAGACTCCAAATTTTGTTGGATTGACATTGATCTCGGCAATTTCGAGGAATTTTGAAGCCGTTTTGCGATGAATCCCCGTATTTCCGGGATCCATTGGGCCACTGAGGTTGGGATCCGGAAATTCCAGGAATTTCTTCGATGTTGATTCCGAATCTACTCAGTGATGCCCCATGCGTAGCAAACAGGGGCTCAACTAAGGTTTTCTGCAAGATATGAACTACGTAAATCAACATATATACAATTTATATATATATACATACATATATAAAACATGCATGAACATGCACCATGTATCTATCATAGTTGACCTCAGCGTGTTGTGGGTGGAGATTTCAACCAACTCTAACTCAACACACCACCCCTGCGGACGGGGCCGGTGTTCCAAGCTACTCTGGAGCCTGACGAGAATGGCAGTAGCTGGCAACGATGTAGAACACCCCTGCGTTTTCACAGGACAAAGGCGCAGCTGAAGTCCGTAGAAAAAGGATGAAACAGGGGATACATGACCCTTGGAAAAACATCTTGTAATATATATCTCTGAATGGCATTTCCTCTCCTTTCCAACTAAAAAGTCTTAAACATGTTAAACTTCCATGTTCTGGTTAAAAAAATCTGTGGTTTTAAACATGGTTTCCACCAAAACCTCATCAACATCCAAAAAAAAATCACAGCTCCGCCGCGCTACCAGCTCATCCCTTCTCGAGCCTAGGACCACGCGGATGCCACGGGCTTTGCAGAAAAGCACCGCCACCACCAAGAGAAGATAGATGCACTTCCTGCACCCAAAAAAAAATGTGATTTCATGTGTTTTAATAATCACTTAAGTGATGATAAGTGATGATTTCATGAGAAAGTTACGAAATGGAATTATAAAATGTGTAATTAGAAGATGGGAATTCCTCTCTACATGGAGATTCAAATGGTAAATCCTGGAAAATTATGGCACCATCAATGGGATAGAATAAAATAATGGGGTAGAACCATCCCTTCCCCGCAATCTTAAGCACCTACCAGAAACCATGGTTTAGTAGGGTATTTACACATCTTTGAAACCATAGAATGGGGGTGTTTAATATGAACGGGTGATGAGATTATGGGAATTTTTTTCTAAATCGACAATTAATTAAATGGAAAAATATGGGACAATAGTAATGGAAACATCATCTATTGGATATGTTCTAGGTATGTTTCATTTGATATTATGGGCTGCAACTGACAGTCAGACATGGGCAGCTGGGAAATCAACAAACTAAATGGAGGCTTGTCCAGCACACCATGTTTGATTACCAGACAGGAATCACAAATAATTAATCCACTTCTGATGCCCCATTTGCGTATGATATGCCAATCAAAAAACATGGAATATCATACATAACGTACTAAATAACAATGCAACACAAAAATCGTATTTGTAAAACATAACCGAAGGAAGTTTAGAAGTCAAACTTGAGAGGGGGAACACGAAAGGTAGGTAAGCAAGAAAGGAACCGAAGAAAAAATGAAGGGGAGAGGGCAGGAAAAAAAAATAAAGTGGAGTCTGGTAAAAGCGACGCGGCCATTTTCTTTCCAAAAATATAAAGGGGAGTCTGGTAAAAGCGACTGAAAGGCTTCGGCGATGTGGTTGGGGTTGGTGGTGGTTGTGGTGTTGGTGGTGTTGGTGGTGCTGGTGGTGTTGGTGTTGTTGGTGTTGTTGGTATTGGTGTTGTTGGTGTTGTTGGTGTTGTTGGTGGTGGTAGTGTTTTTGGTGTTGTTAGTGTTGTTGGTGTGGTTGGGTTTGTTGGTGGTGTTGGTGTTGTTGGTCGTGTTGTTGGTGTTGGTATTGGTTTGTGTTCGTGTTGTTGTTGTTGTTGTTGCTGCTGCTGCTGCTGATGGTGTTGTTGTTGTTGTTGTTGATGTTATTGTTGTTGTTGTTGTTGTGTGTGTTGTTGTGTGTTGTTGTGTGTTGTTGTGTGTTGTTGTGTGTTGTTGTGTGTTGTTGTGTGTTGTTGTGTTGTTGTTGTGTGGTGTTGTGTGTTGTTGTGTGTTGTGTGTGTGTTGTGTGTTGTTGTTGTTGTTGTGTTGTTGTGTGTTGTTGTTTTTGTTGTGTTGTTGTGTGTTGTTGTGTGTTGTTGTGTGTTGTTGTGTGTTGTTGTGTGTTGTTGTGTGTTGTTGTGTGTTGTTGTGTGTTGTTGTGTGTTGTTGTGTGTTGTTGTGTGTTGTTGTGTGTTGTTGTGTTGTTGTGTGTTGTTGTGTCTTGTTGTGTGTTGTTGTGTGTTGTTGTGTGTTGTTGTGTGTTGTTGTGTGTTGTTGTGTGTTGTTGTGTGTTGTTGTGTGTTGTTGTGTGTTGTTGTGTGTTGTTGTGTGTTGTTGTGTGTTTGTTGTGTGTTGTTGTGTGTTGTTGTGTGTTGTTGTGTGTTGTTGTGTGTTGTTGTGTGTTGTTGTGTGTTGTTGTGTGTTGTTGTGTGTTGTTGTGTGTTGTTGTGGTGTGTTGTTGTGTTGTTGTGTGTTGTTTGTTGTTGTTGTGTGTTGTTGTGTGTTGTTGTGTGTTGTTGTGTGTTGTTGTTGTGTTGTTGTCATTGTCGTTGTTGTTATAGTTGTTGTTGTTGTGTTGTTGTGGTTGTTGTGGTTGTTGTGTGTTGTTGTGTGTTGTGGTGTGTTGTTGTGCGTTGTGGTGTGTTGTTGTGTGTTGTTGTGTGTTGTGTGTGTTGTGTGTGTGTGTTGTGTGTGTTGTGTGTGTTGTGTGTGTGTTGTGTGTGTGTTGCGTGTGT